TCTTCTTCTTCTTCTTCTTTTTCTTCTTCTTCTTCTTCACTCTCATCGTCGCTATCGCTAGGAATCTCGTAATCATCGTCTCCGCAGTGATCGGCACGAGAGCCATACTCCTCTTCGTCCAGGTCCATGTTGTCTGAGGAGTCAGCATAGGCTACTCTTATACGTTTCGAGCGATTGCTTCGACGAAGAGGCGAAGAAGCAGAAGACGCAGAATACGCATAGGAGCGACGACGACGGCGCTGAGGCTGGACCCGAGAACCAGGATCTGACCCTTCCTCATCGATAGAAGACTTGGGTCGAGGCATGCTGAAGTTGGTGCACCTCACAAGGAGCAATAAGGCTTCTGACAGTTAGCAAGATCCTTAGTCTTAAGGGAATTCTAAGTGTTCAATAGGTTTACCTAAGAATACCTAAGTATTTTTGTCCCTTAGAAGAGAGATGGTAAGTTCGGCCTCCCCTCGACAGGTAAGTCAAAGCAAGTAGGGTGATATAAGGTGCGAGACGTAGATATTTGGTAAGGAACGCTATGCCCGGGGAGTGGAAGAGGAAAAGAGGGACAGAGAAGATGGGCGACGTAGACCTCAGGGGAAGTAACGGTTACGATTGTGAATGGTTCGAAAGTGACCACGATTGTAATGTGAATGAATAACAGAGATATCAGATACGGGCTGATATTGGCACACAAGCCAGTCTTCTATTCCGCCAGTGACTGATCAAACACACTATGAACATACACTGAACTGCTCGGCAGTGTTCTCGTGCGTCTTCCAAGGGTCCCCTTGGGCCGTAGCAAATGTGCTCAAAGAAACTCGCCAACCTAAACAGCAAACCATGAGAACTTCAAAGGAACCCATCAGATACAGGGATTGTTTGCTCATGACTGGCTCCAAAGCTTCTTGGCTATTTAGTCACGATAAAGATACTTACGTGGTGTCGGTCACCTGAGACTAGGCTTTTGGCACACAGACACTAGACGAAGAGATATCAGGGATGAATGATTATATTTCCGACGCCAATTGTCGCTTGAGTGTCATCCGTTCAATTTCCATTCTCTTCTAGACGTCCGATTTACCAAACCAGTGCCGTAGTCTATAACGCCACAGCCATCAAAACAACAACCCGCCTAGCAGATAATGACTGCTCACAATATTGCACCAAACCTTGCAGGAACAGCAATGTCTAAATGGATCTATTCAACGACTAATTTTGGATCTTGGCGGAAGGTGAAGTCTGCCAACACAAAAACAAGAAGAGTAAACCTGGTGACTGAGAGACACTCAGCAAGCTGATAGTCAATAACTGTTCTCTTGGATTCTTGGGTTCACTTGCGAGAACGAATCTACATCGATTACAAGTTTGGGTGCTATTTAAGTATGGCTCATATCTAATAGAATGTCTTCATTCATTCACAAGGAACTCTCAAATCAACGCATGTTTCTTGGCGTAGTCCTATAATAAGTATTGAATGATCTTAGCTTGAAATGGTGCATGGATGGATCAATTGATCACATTAGACTAATGTGCTCGTTTGGAGCCACCTTTTGAATGACTGTTCAAGCCAGGTTCAATAGTCTATCGCTAATGCGGTTCATGCTGTTCCTTTTGTCTTGTTTCGCCGCGTGCTCTTACATCATCGAACTTGGACAAGCCAACACTACTCAGTTTACATCTTCTACATGAGTTCACTATGAGCGTAGGGCTGACATATTCCAGAACTCACCAGGACTTACATACTTATTATTGACTCTTAAATGCATTTCTATGATTATACAGTCTTCTGTCTCTTTGTAGGTCTTGTTGTTCATGAGTTGATTTGTCAATATTGCAAGGCCATGGAAACCACAGGTTGCAGGGGTTGGAACTGTTTCTCACCTTACTATGCGTAGGTACTTGTTACAGTCGGAATTTGCAGCCTAGTAGTAAGTATAGTATATTAAGATGTACTTATCTCAAGACCCCTGCAATAAACCAGGATACTGCAAACGACAGGTATAACCTCTCTTCAGCCTCTCATAAATTTAGCAGCAATCTTACTACAAGAGTGCATATACAACCGTGCAACCTGAGATGGTGGGTCAGTAGAGCAATGAAGAGACGCAGGCTGCATTCTTTGTGGCCCTTAATTAAGTCTAAATGCATACAATCTCATCCCAAATCTAGTCTAAATTTATACAATCTTATCCTGATGACCCCAAGTTTTAGTCTGATCTCGTTATCCTTAGGTTCCCGACCCTCTCTACCACCTTGATATCACTGCCTTCTCTTCTTTCTTATGCCCCGTCCACAAGCAGTCTCCACTCGAGGCAAACCAGCCAGCAACTCGCGAGTTCGACGATTGATTTTCCAAATCTATCATGGCATTGCACTCATGGTTCACTGCCTTCTCGGACGTTTGCTCCGAATAGGCAGCTCGGCATTCAGACCATCAGCATTGCGCTTCTTGTCTGGCTGAAGCCAGTCAGCGATAGACTGCTGAATCTTAGTTTTTTTGTAGAAGCGTCTGAGTGTCGTTCCTTTCCATCGCTCAGATCGATTTTCCGGCTTTTCGAACATCTCATCTAAACAATCGCAGACCAACCTGGCCTGCTGACAATCGGGAAGGGCTCTGTGGTTGTGTCCAATCAGGCTATGTGCCGGATATAGGACTTGGAAGAGCACTTCGAGCCTCAGACTGAGACTTTTCGGGGCGTTCTTTTTAAAGATTGGTATCAAGGGGAAACATTTGTCATCTCCAGGTAAGATGTCTGTGTAGCCACCCTTTCGCAGGAATTCTCTGAGGATGGTCAGATCGAATTTGTTGTTGTGCCAGCAGATAAAAATGGTCTCTGGTGTAATGCCAGATCTCTGAAGAGTTTCAGCAACCTGGTCAACATCCATCTGTGCCAGTTCTCCACTGGAAGGGTAAAACTTTTTCCTGTGTTGATTTGTGATGTATTCCATCTTCTGCCCGACTGTACCTGAAGGAAGTGGTGCAGTCTTGGTGGCGTCGGTGTGTCTGATAACAGTGTTGATTAACACCTCGCCTGTTACCCGATCGATGATGGCCGTTTCACAAAGCTCACGGGTCGTCGGATTGAATTCGGTATCAATTATCACGAACTTTCGTGGACCGGTATGCTGCCCGTTAAGCCGTATATCTCTGACGGGTTTTCTGACTGTTGCTTCATACTGCGCATACTGCGAGGGGTAACTCCAACGCTCTGATGCAGCAGTTGCGAACTCATCTCCAAGTTTGGCGAGATCGTAATCAAGTCTGTGAGGCGAGTCAAATCTCTTTGTGAGTTGCCTCATCCTCATCTCTGCATGACACTTCACGCATCTGCTGTCCAGCGATAACGTAGGAACCTTTCGACCCCGACTATTATTGAGAATCGCCGTGTCCAGTTCAATGACCACGCCGTTTGGACACGGTTCAAGTATAAGCCCATTGGTCTCGATGCCCGGACCTGCACATTTATAGCCTCGGGCATTGAGGCAGACAGGCCTGTCCTTGTGGGTTTCTAAGATTTTTCTTGTCAGCTGTTCCATTCTAAACGAGAAAGGTGAGAAGTTTGTCGCATTACGTACTCCACCATTCTTCATTCTGCCGAAGAATATCGACATCGTGGTCAAAGACTGCATCATCATTCTCTTGTTCCTCAAGGCCACGGCTGTCATCGTCGTCGTGTTCTTCATTGAGGTTGTCGGCATTGTCCTTGAGTGTGATGCTGTGTTTCAGAATCGCTAGAAACAATGGAAGGCTTCCGTTGAACCGTGGTTGCTCGGCTGGTATATACTCCAGTTCTTTGTCTTGCGAAACATGACCCCGTTTCTGGTGTGTTCCCCAATGCTTTACTAGTTCAGTGCTTTTCAGAACCTTGCCAACAACTGTCAAACGACAAGTGGAGATGGGACATTTGTACAGGACTTTGTCTGCACCGTGATCGGGATCCTCTGCGTGGGCAATGGCCCCTTCCGCAGTAACGAACGTTTTATAACATAAGTTCCGAGGTCACTGGAACTTCGTGTGGCTCTTCTCATGCAAGTCTCTGCCCTGACGGAGCTCAAACTTCTTGGAGCAGTATTGGCATTCGTACTTGACGAAATCGGGGTCATGTTTACGCCTCCAATGATCGGTCATGTCGTAATGTCTGGCAAAGGCTTTATCACAATCAGGGCACTCGAACATCTCGCTATTATCGTTGTGCCGGTCTATGTGCCGGTCCAAATGTGCCTGGGTTGGAAGCCTGTCGCCGCACACGTCGCACTCGTATTGGTTCTCTTTTGGTTGATTCATTTTGTCTTCTTCATCAGCATTTAGTTCTTACGCCAGTATTTGGAAACTTACCTTCTCCGCAACCTTCTCCGTGATAGGTATCCTGTGTTGGTTCCTGGCTGAGAAAGCCTGGTCAGAGTATCTAGGGAAGTGGGTAGGTAGTGGATGACAATAGGGGATCAGATGAAGAGATGAGTGAGGCCAGAGGCCAGAGGCTGTACAGCTGAAGAAGCACAAGAATGTTTCTTTAACAGCACAATATATGGCGTTATACACAAGAGACGTGATCAGATATGGGCGTCGTATTTCTGTGCAGAGGTGAGTGGAAATAAGTGATAGGGAATTGATGGAACCAATATGGGTTGGGGAGAAGAGAAAGATATAAAAAAATGAGACAAACCCTTTTAGGATGGGTAGTCCAAAAATATCGAGCAAGCATTCAAAGTAAAGCCAGCGTCAGCTGGCAACAGCTGGCAGCATTAACTTGTCTCCTTTGTCGATTGTATGCGAGACCTCTACCGCCCCTCAGGGGGTAAGAAACATAGAGGATGCCAAAATAAACTTAGCAAAGAGCCTCCTAAGCTTAGAATAAGTTGCCTAAGTCTTTTCATCCCTTAGGATAAAAGTCCTAAAGATCTCTTACCTCTCCCCCTGCCATCCTTCCTTAGGCAACCTATGTTCCTGTTTGATTCCGTTCTTAGTTCAGAAAGCACAGCATCAAATAGTGACAGGTCAAGTTATCTACAAGACCTGCCAAGTTACCACAGGACAACAACAAAGGAATTGCAAACAGGACTGAGCGGTGAGTCAGAGCTAAGGTGAGCTCCTGGGTCATTCAGGCTTTAGTTGTCTTATGATGATGTTAATATAGAAAGCAGGACCAATATTGGCGTTTTGCGATGTTTTACCAAACACAAGCGAGCTGCTGGATAGAGCTGAATGACTATCTTGAACCCTACAAGTTGCAAACTAGTGAGCTTGGCTTGTCTGGTCAATACAGAGAAACCTTGTACGACATTGTCTTCAACAGGATCTTGTGGTCAATCCTTGTAGCATTTCAACAAGCCATCTGTGCTCACGGCGTTTTGAAGCTGGAATAGGTTATCTGACCAATGGAAAGATCTCACAAGAATAGATTGTTCCCCCCTCAGAACCTTCTGTTGGTGGTGCGTCCTTGCTGGAGAGGAATATGAACACGGGTCAAGCATCGGCTTGCCAAGTGTCACTCAGCCGCCACCTCTTCTCTTACCTTCATTTTAGCATTTCTCTCAGATATGTCGTTTCATTTGGAAATGGGCTGAAGTTACCCGCATTTCCCATTACCAGTCTATGTTGGGTGCCATATTGTGAGCAGTCATTCTCTATCATGGGCTATTTTGATGGTTGTGGCGTTGCTAACAGACAGGGGAGTTGACACATCGGGCTTGGACGAAAGAAGAAAATACAGTGAATGACGTTTCAGCGAAACAAATTATGGCAGAATCGGTCCTAATCCCTGGCGCCTCACCAAGTTCTCTCCGTAGATATATCGCCAAAGCTTCAGTTTGAGGGCTATGTAACTCATGAAGTGCCTTTGCCGCGCTTTGATCCCGTTGCAAAGCTCACGATCTAATTTAAGTATTGCCACTAGCTCAGCTCACATGTGCTTTTGTTTCGTGAATTTCTTTGATGCTCTCAAAATTAGTTGTTTGGGTTGACTTGTTCGTTACGTAGCCCCTGGTAAGGAGATGAGAAGACTGTGAGGGATCGAGCACTTTGATGCTCTCAAATTTGGTCATAAGAAATGAGCCCCCATGCTTCCTCCAGGACAGTAAACTGAACTAATTGCCGACTGCTACCTATACTGATAGATACTGCTGGACAGTAATGTCTCTTTAGGGCATCTTTGATATCCATATCCGTTCATCAGTCCTGTTTCATCCCATTTGTTTTCACTTACCATTCTTACGTCCTCTTCGAATAACACCACACTTGCCTTTGTATTCCGCCATTTCTCACTCCATCATCTTCCTTGTTCCTTGGCATCATGCCTGTTAGCAGCTTCCCCACGGATTCGTTCTGCAAAGCAGCTGAGGCTATCTTCAGAGACGCTTCCCACCAATCTATTGTACCAAGACACTTTATCAGGTCGTATTTCGAAGCAGAGTGTGATGCTTCCCGACTGAAGATATTGGATTCCATCATAAATTACTTCCAAGATCCAGCACCTGGGAAAAGACGGGAAACCTTCATCGTTTCACCGTTCAACGACAGCATCAACTTCCTTGTGAGATATGGAGCCAATTCTCACGAGCGGAGCTTGACGGTCCTCGGAACATCCGACGTGATAAGAAACGTGCCAGCATGGCTCGTAGAACTCATTGATGTCATATTCTGTGCCATGCGTCTTCGGATATTCAGCTTTAGGCCTAAGGGGTTCAGCTGGTTCTTGGATCAACAGCGCCTTGGACACACCTTGCTGACGCAACTCGGACGATTTGTTCACTTCGGTACCGACCCGTCAGACAATGGCTCTCTCTCGAGGTTTCCCGCTGTAGAAGACATTCGCAACAACGGTTTCTGGAACTTTAGGGGTAGGATGTCCAGAAGCCAGCTCAACGGTGGTGGCCTTGGCCTTGTGGACTGCTCTGAGTCCACGGTGGATGATCAATTGGCTGATGATGAGGGTGAGGGCTCACAGGCTCAGCCTCGTTCGCTACCTTCTATTCGTCGAAGCAGCCGCCTCAAGCGGAGAAGGGTTGACTATAATGAAGTGTCGGATATCGACATGGACTTGCCAGCCAAGAGCAGCAGTCATGAAGATGAGGGCGACCTTTACAGCGATGGCGAGAAGGAGTCTGACCAGAGTTCCGGAGCCCAATCCGAGACTGCTGAGTTCTCTTCACAAGAAAATAACATTCCAGATGCCTGTGTGAAGGCACCTGTGAAGGCCAGATCCACGCCCCTCGTGCCCACGTTTACCGAAGCCGACCTGATTTTCCCATTGACTCAGCCTGAAGAATTGAAACTATTGGTTCTCTTTGCCGCTTCAATCCAGGTAGCACAACTGCAAACGCTGGTGTACTACAGCCGTGAGGAAGCCAGTTATTGCTTGGCAACCTCTGCGATTGACTGGGCTTCGGTCTCTATAGTGGCGGAAGGGCTCACTCCCAATGACCTCAAGGGTCTATATGCTCCTGAAGTCTGCCGGCAGTTGTTTGAGTCTGATGAAAGCGCCGAGATCAGGCGCAAGGCTCTGCTGGGACCAAATTGCGAGAGGCTCAGAGGTGTGTCGTCTTTCGAAGGCGAGCAACCACGGGAAGCGGACCCTTTTGGCTTTAATGGTGAGGATTCGGGTTCCTGCGGCAGCTGCTCAGCTTTCATACACAGACTCGCCGAACACGAACGGTCGTGTGTTGGGCGCTGCTCTGCGTGCGTCGAGTCCAAACGTCCTTGCGTGCGCCCGGTGGGAAAGAAGACTTGCGTCACTTGTCCTACACCCAGAAAATGCAGAGACCCATCGCACGAGTATAGCGCAAATCCAAAGGGGTTAGAGCAATGTTATATGTGCCTGCAGTTTGTGGGAAACATCTATTCTCACGTCCGCGAGTGTCGTGGTCGTTGCCAAAACTGCGTTGCAAGAAAGGTGCCTTGCACGCGAGGAAACTTTGGAGGAAACCACAAATGCAAGGACTGCGACGCCGGAAGATCAAGATTGTGGCAACTTTTCGCACGACAAGAGAGGAACTTGTAAGAAATGCAAGGCTTCAGTGCGCGACATGAGAACCCACAGGCCAAATTGTCAGGGCAAATGCGGAGTCTGCTTTGCGGCAGAGATTCCCTGCGTTCGGCCTCCGCTGTCCAGGACTTGCGAAGAGTGCAGTCGTCTCGGAAAGGGTCCCTGCAAAGACTTCACCCATCCGAAACCACAAAAGACGTGCACGATGTGTTGGTGCGATTACACCCATCAGCAGCACAAAAGCCAATGCCGCAAGAGATGCACAGAGTGCGTTGCAGATGACAAACCCTGCAAGCGTGAAAAGGGAACACGGCGTTGTAATAACTGCTTGACAAAGAAAACCATCTGCAAAGTTGAAGACAAACTAGCATGCATGGTTCCCTGCCGTTTCTGTGGGAGAGAATACATCAAAAGCATGATTAAACGCCATCAGGAGCGTTGCCCTGGTAAGTGTAGCAACTGCAAGGACGCCAGGGACGACGAAGGTCGTGAGATTGTCTGCTTCCACCCTCCCTCTACCTCAAGAGAGCCATGCAAAAGATGTGCAGAGATGGGGGACAATCTAGGTCGTGGATGCGATGGCAGCTGGAGACGACTTAAGCGTAGGAGGTGCAAGACTGAGGATGAAGCCGATGTTGAGGATAACGAGAGCAGCGAGCATGGAGCGGAGGATGCAGACGAGGACAGCGAGTGTTGGGATTAAGAGGCTTACTTCATGATATTTGGAAGGGGTTCGTCTTGTCTCTTGTGAGGTTGGTAAAAAGTTGTGCATAAGGTGTCTTCCATTGGGTTCATATCACTTTTCTTCTGTTTTTTCCTTCATGGTCAAGTTATTGTAGAGTTTAGATTTCCTTGGATATTCCACCAAAACTGTCGTTTCCTCATATCAAAAACCTCATCTGTGCCTTGGCTATGCAATTTCTGCAGAGCATCTTTCTCCTGCATCGAATTTCAGGCCTCGTCGCCCCATTCTCGTGTTCCAAAAGAAAACTTCCTTAGTAGAGGCCCTTCCCCGACAAAAAGACTGGGCATTCTTTCCCTGGGCATCCTCTGGAACATCAGCGCTTTGACGGGCGAATCAACGTGAATAGTCTCGGCAGCTGTACAGCGAAGTTGGCAACCTGATTTCAATGAAAAGAGCTTCACAGTCCCATTATCCTGTGCCGCAGCAACGACGTTCAGCTCCGGACTGACATCCCAACCAATGTGAAAGTGAGCCTCGTTGCGGTGCCCGTTAAAATACAGCAGTGGCTTTGTCCCACGAGGGTCACTTTTAAGGTAGCGTACGTCGTAGAGAGCCATCGAGCTCTTCAATCCCGATGCCAGCACCTGATGTGGGTTTACACTCTTGATATGGGAGATGGAGCTTGCATGATTCGCAAACGACCATTGCGGTTCAGGGGCGCGAAGATCTGTTATCCAAAGCCTGGGTTGTCTCCCACCAGTAAACACAACGTTGTGGTTCCCCTCTTGGAAATCCTGTGCAAACGTTTCTTGTGGGAGTTGTGTACCATTTTGGACGGCTCTTGGAGCAACCACCGAGACACTCCCCTCGGAATGCATACTAAGGAGGCCTCTGTTAGAGCTGGCAACGCAAATAAGGCCCGAAGATGAAGGTGCGGGTGTGCTATTGTGAACCATCCATTCACCACGTCCCTCGCGAGGGACAGCGACCCTTTGGTAGAGAATTGCTGTTTGCCAGTAAGCAGGGTTCAATACATGGCCAAGCAGAAAGAATAGTTACATTCGCCAAGTAGCCATTTTGGGCAATTGGGGTCCCTATGATTTGAGAGTCGCGGAGAAAAGAAGTATATTCCGCATGCGTTGTCAGGTTCGCGCGAAGTCAAGAGTATTGTATGTGAAGGCTGGTGATACTTGATGGATGACATCTGTGGACATCGTACCGCCTCTGTACGGAAAGATAGGGTTCTGCCAGAAGAACTAGGTGCTTCTCGTGAGAAATGAATTCTGCACTATGTCAGTAGATTAAAGCATCTTCCGGCCTCGAAGACCAACTCATCATTTTGATCTGTAGGAATGTAGCTTCCCACCAAAGTCTCCTCATCCAAAGCTGAAATGGCAAGTCAGATATCATGTGAAAGTCATATGTTGCAGCGCTGCAACCCAAAGACTTACTGGCATAAGAAGCCCCTAGGCCAGTCTTCTCATCATCCCCAGAGACATAAAAGCACGGCATGTTTGCCCGTCGCTCTCTTGCAAAGCTTGGTGCAAAAGGGACGTTGCCTTTGGCCACTGAGCCTCTAGCCCACGCTGCAGCACCAAGGTCTTCATCCTCTACTCTACCGCGGCCTCTCTCGGCGATATAGGGAAGACCAATCTCCCTCGCAAGGAGTGCGGACGTGACAGTATCTCTGACAACGAAATGGCGCTTAATATGTTTCTTTACTTGGTGTGCTTGGCGTTCAGCGAGTCTTTGAGCCTCGTGCTCGACTTTGCGCCTTTTCACGGCATCCGACGACCAGGCAGCCGACGAGGGCGCCGTATGCGTTCTTTCGATCTTGAAATACTTGTTTTTCTCATTGTCTGCCAGAAATGTAAGTAAGTACACAAACTTCAGTTGTTTGCCAGAATTCTGTACCATAGTAATAACCAGGGATTTCGCGGTTCATGATCGTCCTTCTGACACTTGATAGCTTCTACAGCGGCTTTTGGACGGGAAAGGCGGAGTAATGCAGGTGTCAGAATTTGTGAAGCGGCAAATGTGAGCTGTTGAGATATGGAGGGGGCTGCAGGTTACAACTGATGTCACACTGAGTGGATGGTGCTTAGGCGAGGCTGAAGGAGAGGCCAATAAAGGATGGTGGGTCTGTACTGACCCAAGTGAAAGACCATGCTGCAGGTTGAGGAACAACAACCATCAAATAAGCACAGAGAAAGCAAGACAAGATAGACACAGAGCGAGTTTTTGAAGGTCACCACGTTGTAGAGGGCAAATTATTTATTTTACTTGTATTATTAGGTGTCTAGTAGACGTTCTCTAGGGGTATGAAAGTTTCCTCAACCACTCCAGGAGTCTTAATACTCGGGTGCGAGTAATACAGTTCAAATTTGGACAGAGCGAAAGTGAAAAGTCCGGGCGATGGTGGTCCGGGTATATACCATCTAGTTTACTGAGACTTCTCGTGCTGGGTAGAGACACGTTGAAGAGAGACAACTGTGATAAGAGTTAGTGGACTCAAAATCAACATCAAGGCAATGGTACAACTTACCGAAATCCTCGAGGGATCGCTGCTTCTGGTTCTGCTTGGGGGACTTGCCGTGCATCAGGTTGTCAAATCCAGTGCTGCCCTGCATGAAGTAGTAGAGACCACCCATGACGCAGAAGACACCAAAAGAGAAAATCCAGATACGAACGACAGCGACAATGCTGGTCTGGCCACCAACAAACCAACCGAAGATACAGAAGAGGGTGGCAAGGATATCGACGATCAGAATGGCTCCAGACAACTGCCAAGAGGGGATGGAAGACCAGAAGGGACCGTTGGCACGGGTGATGAAGATAAGCCAGTTCTCAGTGAGAGAGATCTCAAGGAAGAGAACCTCGTCGATCTTACCGAAGTTCTGGACAATACCACCGTCCTCAGAGTTGGCGTACATGGTAGTAAGGGCAATCCAAGTACCAACAGCCAGGACAATACCGAGAAGAACGGACATACCCCAAAGCTTGGGGAGGTTCCACTTGACGGGAGTCTGAGAGAAGGGAGCGTTGTCGTAAGCAATGGCAAGAGTAGCAATATCGGCGAAAATAGCAATGAAAACGACAAGCTCAATGTTCAAGCTCTTGTTGAGAATGGCGATCCAGAGACCAAGGAAGAACTCCATGTGAAGAGACAGAGCAATACGGTAAACGACGTATGCGTACATTCTGAAATACGGTTAGCAGGCACTCCAGAGCATTTACGAAAGGTTCAACTAGCCTGTGGAATATTTGCCGGGCAAAATGGCTGTTAGCTGGGACTTATCATGAAGGGGTAGCCTTTGTGTCGTGGTGGAGGTCATCGCGAAAACAAAAAGTGGAGCAAAAGAGCCTCAACCCATGACACAGGGCAGCAGAATGGGAACTTACAAGTTTTCAAAGCATCAATAATAGCACCGAGACCGGGAGCAAGGAAAACAATATCGGCAGCGGAGCGAGCAGCATCGGAAGCACCCTCAACAGCAATACCGGTATCAGCCTTCTTCAGCGAGGGAGCATCGTTGACACCATCACCAGTCATGGCAACGAGGTAACCACGCTGCTGGAGAATCTCAACGACGTTGTACTTGTGCTGGGGGAAGACCTCGGCGAAACCATCGGCAGCCTCCACGAAATCGTAGACCTCAGAACCAGGCATGTCACCACCGCCACCAAGACCAAGACGCTCAGCATTGTAAACGTTGGTACCGAGACCGAGTTGGCGAGAAGTCTCACGAGCAATACCGACGGCATCACCAGTAAGCATCTTGATGGAAAGACCAAGGCGCTTGGCCTCGTTGATAGTGCGGGCAGTATCGTGGCGGGGAGGGTCAGAGCAAGGCATGATACCGAGAATCTCCCAAGCACCCTCACCTCGCTTGCGGGCAACACCGAGGGATCGGAAACCACGGGTAGCGAATTCAGCAACAGTGTTCTTGTAGGCAGCATCAATTTCCTCAGGGATAGGGTGGTCCTCTTCGACAGTCTTGAGAACAAAGAGAGGGGCTCCCTTGACACAGATGATGCGCTCGCCCTGAGGAGACTCAACGACAGCCTGGACCTTCTTGGAGACGGGATCGAAAGGATGGAAGTCAAGAACCTTGTACTTGGACAGAACGCTCTTGGCACGAGGGTAGTACTTGAGAGCCTTAAGGAAAGCCTTGTCAATGGCGTCAATACCCTTCTTCTTGCGGGAAGCGGCCAAACAAGCAGTAAGCATAAGGTCATCAGGCTCAACGCCAGCAACGCAGAAAGGCTCAGCGAGAGAGAGCTTGTTCTTGGTCAGAGTACCAGTCTTGTCAGAGCAGAGAATCTCGACACCAGCCAGAGACTCAATGGCGGAAAGCTTCTGGACAATGGCCTGCTTCTTGGCGAGGTAGGCAGCTCCGACGGCCATAGTGGTTGTGACGACAGCAGGAAGACCGACAGGGACACCAACGATGGTGATGGCCAGAGTGAAGCGTAAGATATCGACGACTATTTTAAGGTTAAAATTAGTATAAATAAGTCTTCAAAGGAAGATATATTGAACTTACTTCCATTGGATCGATAGAAACTTGAGACCCAAACCACAAGCAGTGTAGCGACGACCAGAACCAAAAGGATTGTGCCGATGCCGTTGAGAACCTCTGTGAAGTGACCAGTGCCTCCAGCAGACTGGGAGACAAGAGCAGCAGCTCGGCCGACGAAGGTGTTGTCACCAGTAGCGGTAACGATGATGAAAGCCTCACCTCGCTTGACAGCGGAGGAAGCATAGCAGTTGTCACCAGCGTGCTTGTCAACAGCGAGAGACTCGCCAGTGATGGCAGACTGATCAACCTGGACGAAGCAGCCCTCGGTAACGAAACGACCATCAGCAGGGATAATGGTTCCTTCTTCAACCTGGAGAATATCACCGGGAACAACCTCAGGGGCCTCAACTTCCTTGAGTGTACCGTCACGGAGGACGACAGCCTTGAGAGCGAGAGTCTTTTTGAGTTCCTCCACAATGGAGCCAGCCTGTTGTC